ATTTATCTCTTTTTACCCAAATATCTAATGGAAAAATAAATCAAGGTTCAAGATCTGACTTTGCTGCCCAGCTGGCAGGCTTTATGGCATCTCTTGTGACTGATGTACCTAGCCAGGCGCCTTGGATTGTTGAATTGACAAACTACGACTTTAGTGGGGCCGCAGGTCATCTAGTTGCTTCAGTACCTGGAATTCATTCTTACAGAACTCCCCATGAACCAGGATCTATGCACTCTATACCTGTAAGTATTTTCATCTATGATGTGTGAGTGTCCAGTCCATGAACAAATTTCTTTCTTGGCATAGAAAGCAGGCTTGCTTAACTGAAATTTGGCATTGTGTTAACTACAACAGTAAACACGTTTAGATAGACTATCTACACTCACAGAGATATGCGTGTCTGTTGGCTTAGATAGGCTGGAGATTTATATTCATTATTGCTTTCTTGGGAGTTAAGCTCCTGACCTCAGTCCCTGATACTGAGGTAAACCCTTTTTTGTTCCTCTTTGGAGGTTTCATGGTGTTACTTTTTTGGTAGACATAATTAACAGGATTCTTACCTGCATAGGCAATGATGCACAAGGTGAAAACTGAACTCTCTTTACAAGAGTGAAGGAGGATACCTTTTCGCCATCGATCTAGCTTGATTCTCAACTTGTTTGTTACTTAATAAAAAATTGGTCATCATTGTGTGTCTTGGAAGTTTTGTGTTAATGTCTGCTAGTAATATTTTGAATTCATATAGGGTCATTTAAAATTTAAGGTAGCTAAACTGTATTGTTAATGGTTTGTAAGAGTTGGCCGTTTTCCCCTACCCCTTTTTCCTCTTCCAAAGGCTTTTGCATATTCTTTTACGTTCTGGAGGTCTAGATAAGGGATATACATTTCATATTTAACTCTGATTTCAGACTTATTGTTTCTCATGGGCGTGTGATGCTAAGTTTCTGGGTTTGGTTGAAGCATCTATAGTTGGTTTGAGCCATTTTTTTCGCACTGCAAGAGACTCAAATGGCGCACAGCTCAAGAAGCTGGCTTCTTTTCTTGGTAAATCTTGTGAGAATGGATCCGGAATGTTGGAGGTTGTTTTGAGAAGGAATACCAATGTGCCAGCTGATCTAAATGCTGTGAGCATTTTTGTTCCTAACCCTGATGAATCCAGGGAGGCAGGTAAAGCTTGAGTACTTGATATAGATGTTAAGCCATGGAGACATTTGTTGAGCATTGGAACATTGTAGGTCCACTATTGAATTCTTTTGAAAATAAAATATGAATTATATTCACAAGCACCAAGGGAATCAAATCCATATAGAAAATATTTACGAATCATTCAAAACATTAATTAGGTCCCTAGATCATCACTAGTAATCAGTGGTTGACCCTTAAACAACAAACTTAGTGTCTGGAACTAATAGTCCTTGAACTTGTCAAAATTAGATTCTATACCCTTAAAAGTCATCCTATTCCTTTCATTCCAAATGGCCCAAAAGGTAGCCGAAGGAATGTGTCCCAGCCTATTATCCCCATGGATGCCCTTCT